GGACAGGCTGCAGGAGCTGGGGTTGTTCGGTTTTGCAAAGAGAAGACTTTGGGAGGACCTAATAGCTGCCTTCCAATACCTGAAGGGAACCTACAGGAAGGCTGGGGAGGGACTTTTTACAAGAGTGTCCAGCTATAGGACAAGGGAAAATGGGTTGAAGTTGAAGGAGAATAGATGTAGATTAGAATTTAGGAAGAAATTCTTCAGTACGAGGGCGGCAAGACTTTGGAATAAATTGCTCAGAAGTTGTGGCTGCACCCTCCCTGGAGGGGTTCAAGGCCAGGTTGGACGGAGCCTTGGGTAACCTGATCTAGTTGAGAGGCATCCCTGCCCATGACAGGGAGGTTGGATTAGATGATCTCTAAGGTCCCTTCCAGCCTAGGCCAGTCTATGATCAAACTAATGCACAAAAAAGCACATTACATTGGTAAACCAAGGAACTAACACTAGAATGAGGAAAATATGTTGCTTTTTTTTGTCTTAATCGGAAGAAGAAAGTGAGACTCTTGGCTGAGTGTTGGTAACTCGATGAGCTAAGAAGCTGGGGAAGGACTGGAACTTCTGTAATCATGCTTGGCAATGGTCTTGCCTAGCTTAGTGCTGATCCTATGCACCCTGAAACATAGTCTCTGCAATTTCTAAGGATGTGTATATTCTGCTAAAACACAGCAACACTGAACTGATTAAAGACAAATTACCACAGTTGCTCCTTGCACTGTTCTTTAAATGATCCAAAACTGATGAGGGGAATGAACCTTTTATAGTTCTCTGGTACATAAAAAAGGCTATGCAGAAAATATTGTTGTGAACATCCACAAACTTGAAAAGCACTGCTTCAAAATATCCTTGCGCTAAGGTGTTTCATTGGCAGCTGTAGGACTTCTGTCTGGTGACTCATCTGAGATGCATGAAGAAGGTTATACCTGGCTATGGCTGAGACTTGCAGTGTGTGCTGTAAAGGCTGGCTCTTAGGTTAAACCTCTTCTATAGGATTCTGTCTGTGGAGTCAGAGGACAGAATCCTAGACTCTAGTGGTCCAGCACATCTACTTATGAGCTGTATTGGTTAAACTATGAAAGTATGCCCATGATTAGAGTACTGACACTGTACAAATAGAAATGAACATGTTAACAGAATTAAATCTAGATATAATCACTGAATACTCTATTTTTTTTCCCCTCAGGTTAGATGGATGATGAAGATCTTTGAACAAGTGGATATACAAACTTGCTAAAGATGTCTGTTCCAAACCAACACTGTTCGGTTATTATTAACCCTCCTCCACCAGAATACATAAATAACAACAATAATGGTTGTCAAACAAACCAGCTTCAGTACTTACAGAAGGTGATCATGAAAGCCATGTGGAGACACAACTTTTCCTGGCCGTTTCACCAGCCTGTAGATGCAGCAGCACTGAATCTTCCTGTAAGAACCATTTTGGAATTGGAGTATTAATGCATAAAGTATAACAGAACTCATGAATTAATGTTAGCTTAAAAGAGCTTCTTCTAATGCAACAGATCATAGAAGACTACTTTTGCATTTAAACTGCTTTCATTAATCTAGGCCTGAAAGAAAACTGTTTTCTCTCTGGTTTCTGCATCTTTGTTCCTTTGTTTTCTGTCTGAAATTGTAGTAAATCAGTATTTCTTGCAGGCTTCTAGGAGTTTCTGGATGTTGGTATTCTGCCTTGTCTTACTTTCCCCTACTGATGGTTTAGCTGCATTTTTAATGCTGCATATGATGAGCATTTCTTTTTTGCCTTTAAGTATTCTTAGTAAGATGCAGCCAGCCTCTTTCAGTGTCAAATACTCTATGATGGAAAAGTAGATTTGACTGACCCTAAAGTAAATATGTAAATCTGGATCCAGTCTGATGAATGGAAGTAATGACACTTGTAGTACTTAATTTCACACCAACTTTGGCATCTTGCTCTGAAGTTTCTAGAGGAATTAAATGTCACTGCAAAAAGAGGGAAGAAAAAAAAAAATAGATACGGTGTTATCATACCACAGTGGTAGAACATTCTTCTATGAAACAGAAGATCCGATACTTGAGTTCTTGTTCAGTATTGTCTTGTGGGTTTTATTTATGTTACAATTTAACTGCAACAAGGTGAATGAATATAACGTCTTGTGACCCACTGTCTTAATTCGGGTATCTTTATGTTCCAGTTTTGGATCACCTCAGTTTTTTCAGTCAAGTGAAAACACTGGTTATTCACACAATGGTGTTTCAAATGACCTAGAAGATACTGCTCTCGGTATATAAGAAGAAAGGTGTTAAATATAAATACAGTACACTTCAGGTGGCGCGGAGTTTTTCCTCCTGCAGTTTACGCAGTCTTTAGTTCTCTCAAATTTCCAAGACTAATTCTGCAGCTATCTGCAGCTATTTCCCATGACAAACTTACTTGGTCAGTTTGTCCAAAAGCACAGTCAAAGTGACTATTTTCTGTGTCTTTTCTTACCCTTTTTCCTTCTTGGAAGGAACTGTTACTTAAGGTTAATATTAAGGGTCATTCAATCAGAGTTGTAGCAACATTTGCAGCTGCCCTCAGGCCAGTTCTGCCTCTCTGGATTTCTAAGGCAGCCACTTGACTTCTAAAAGTATGTGTTAGTTTAATCACTGCACAATAACAAGCAAATCTCTGGCTCCATGGCAAGGAAAAGGAATATATTTGCCTCCCTTGTCTCTCTCCTCCAGGTGTTAGAAGATACAGAACAGACAAAGTTTAATTATTAGCTGCATTATTTAAAATTTTCCTTGGGTTTGTTTGGGTAAATTCACCTGTCTGCACTACGATGTATTTAGCTTTTTTATTACACTAAAGGAGATTATTAGGACAGCTTTAGAACACTGTGTGAAGCTTCTCCTACTTCTTCAAGAATTACAATGTGTATGTGAACTTAGTGGGGATATTCCTGTCCTGATTTCTCAAATGTACCTGCAGGTAATTAGCTCAATGCTCTTAATCTCAAGCTTTTAGCCATGCTACTAAAATAATCACAATAGTTCACATTGCACCTGCCTTTCAGACATATTTCCACATCTTCACTAGATTAAGCCTGAGAGGACAGTCAATATAGCCCAGGAGATGAAGTATTTGATCAGCAATTATGAAAACTTGGTGGCTTCTTTTTGTCAGTGATTGAGCCTTTGTCTTTGTCAAAGTTTGTCTTTGGCTGCTTCTCCATCTGTTCTGTAAAGTGGAGTGCTCCTTCAGGCATTGAGACAACAAATGAGAGGTACATATACTTTTTGTAAGTGTTGCTACCAGTACAGCTCTGGGTCCTATTGAATGAAATCTTCTTTGGGGCTTTGAGCTGTGGATGTTACAGGAAAGACCAAGGAGAAAGTATGAGGTCAAGAGTTCCTGAACACTAACTTCTGTTGTACCTGTGACTACAGGGGAAACTCTTCCTTCACATAAAATACTCCTTCAAACATGACGCAATTCTCCTGTTGTGCAATTTAACTTTAATGATTAATTGTATAAGAATATTCATGTCTTAATATGAAAGATGCCTGTTATGTGACTAATTCTTTTAAAACCGTAGGATTATTACAGTATTATAAAGAAACCAATGGACTTGAGCACCATTCAAAAGCGTCTGGAACACAATTACTACACAAAAGCAGCGGAATGCATTGAAGACTTTAAAACTATGTTCTCGAACTGCTACATATATAACAAGGTACGTGGAACACACCACCCTCTTACCACTAACTAATTCTACTGAACAATACAAACAAATCCAAAACAAGCAAACGATTATTGGAGCCTGCACTATATCAGTCAATATCTTCATGATTTACTTACTTTACTGTAGGCTGCTTTGATTTTACAAGGTAGCCCTCAATTACTGCAGCCTCTCCTTTATTCTGAATGTTACCGACTATATTTTGCAGCCAGGTGATGACATTGTGTTTATGGCCCAAGAACTAGAAAAAGTTTTTATGCAGAAAATAGCTCAAATGCCACCAGAAGAAAGACCAGTGATTCTCAATAAAGGAAAGAGAAAAGAAAAGAAACAAGAAGGTAAGGCCTGTACTACATGATGAGTTAACATATTAGGCAAAAGCTGGAAGTGGGGAATCCTCTGTAGCTTGTCACAACTCAAAACTGGAGCAGGCAGAGTGTGCCTCCCCCTTCCCAGAACATACCAGATAAGTTACAACATTGCTCTAAGGCTTTACCAGATTCAGTGCAGCCATAGTATTTTTTACAGGTACTACCTAAATTCCTATTTTGTACTAATGAAGTGTGTTTAAGTGGGGTAAAAATCAGAATTAACAATTTGATCAGTAGTGTAATAGTACAGCTTCACAGGCTAACTTCCGGTGAAATGCAGTGCCTGCAAAAAGGACAATTCATTTAAGACTTCTCAAACTTATGAGGAAATTAGATAGTAAGTCCTTGAAGTGACATCAGGAAGCCTAATTGCAAGGGGCCAGGTGATTACCTGCAGCTTATTACTCATCAGTGACTTCCTATATCTTTTTAATTGTCTTTATAACCTGTTTCACTTGTAGAAAGTGCTCATTTCCACAGCTAAGCTCTTGACATTGTCAAAGAATAAGTATTTATGTTCATATTCATAGAAGTAAGACTATGCAGTGACTGGGATCACAGTGCATCTCGATGGGTTAATCGGAGATCACAGAGGTAGTATCCCCAGCTGGCTTGAAGGTACTGCTGTTAGTTGTTGGGGAAATGTTAGCTATGTCTTGAAAGGACTGCAACACTTCATCCTGATACCTCTTAATTGCTTGCTCTTTTACAGCTATGGAGCAATGACCTTGGCTAGCTCAGCTCCCACTAGGTGAACTGAAGAGATGCTTTATTTAGCATGTGACTACACAGCTCTTCAGTGTCTCCTGATGATTTAATTTGCTTCCTTTTACTGCTGTTTGTGGTGTGGTTATCCTTGCTGCTGGTAGTATCTGAAACAAATGTTACTTCAAGATATTATTAGAGTTTGATAAAAGTGTACCTTTCTCCTCAAGGTATATTTGAGGAGCAGCACTACCTTTCAAGCCATCTGGTAGGATACTCAACTGGCTTCTTATTCTTACCATCTTATTTGAGTAGAATCTCAAGCAGCTTATTGCCTTGGCAGAGTACATCGGTTGAACAGGTAGAAGTGACTCTCAGAAAAGATTTCTGCAAAATGTATTGGAAGCTGAGTTAGCTTCTTTGTTCTCAAACGATTGCAACAATTTGTTGAGATGCTTTTTAACACCATCTTGCTATTATTAAGTCCCCTAATTCCCTTTGCACACATAAAGATGCAGCTTGCATGAATTTTGAAATGTTCTAAGTGCTTCTTTTTGAACTGAATAGAGCACAGTGCTGTCATTAAGGAAATAGTTTTTGTCCTGTCTTTTGCAAACTTTGGCTTTAGAGACACATCTATAAATGCAGCTTATTTCCCTTAAAAAAAAGGCACCTGACTTGCATTTCAGAGACTGCCATGGAGATGCACAGGGTTGTGTTATATAAATTAATAGGTGTGAACTAAACAGAATCACAGAGCTGAAAAAGACATTAGTAATCTAACCAGCTAAATCCAACAGAAAAAAAAAAGACATTGCCCTCAACTGTCCTCAGAAGTGATGGAGGTCTGTAATACTGCTAGGCAGTATAAGCAGATCTTAACTACGCTTATGAAAATTGAACCTTTATAATGCAGTTTGAAGCATCTATCACTGCTTGGTATTTACGCATATGTAGAAAACAACTTGATTTTCTTATTGCCAAGAACATTTTTTACAATATACATAGGTGTGATGTCTCTTAAATCTTCCCTCTGATGTTAATCTGTGGCTTTCTTGAATACAAATATGGTAACTCGGTACATGAGCCAGAATATTCTGCCAAGGGTGCTGAGCAGAAGAGGACACCAATGTTGCTGTATGTAGCAATGTTCTCATCCGTATTTGTTTGTATAACGTGGGTGTGGAAGAGTGGTTCTGTTGACAACTGTTCAGTTTGACCATGAAAGAAATTAACTGCAATGTTTAAGACCTCACTTGAAACTTTGCTTTCAAACAACCAGAAAAATGGCAGCCCAGCACTGAGACGTCAAACGAACACAGCACAATGCAGAAACAAGCTGAAAGCAGTGAGCAGCCTCCAGTGATGGCTCCAAATCTGCAGCAGGTTACACTGGCTCCTTTTTCTGCAGCTCAGCTGACGACTTCCAGGCCAGCTGCAGTCCCAATAATAGAAGTAAGTTTCCTCAAATAACTTTCAGGAAGATTCTGAAATTGCTCCCTCTGGCACTAACAGCAAAACCATAGGAGCCATGCTTATTGCAGTATCTTTTTCAAAGCTTCTATTGTGATAGAAGATAGTAACACATTTCTAGAAATTTTGTAGGTCTCTGCTAAATAACTGGGCCAGTACTAATTCCAGAAACCAAGCAGACATTGGGATGACTGCTTGGTACATCTTTTCTTATAAATGTCATTTTAAAATGTTGCTCTCAGAGAAACAAAGCGAACTTCAAGATGTTCATTCCTGAAGTGTACTGCTGTACTCCTGCAGGCTTCACCTTGATGTAGAAACTGTTCTTTCCTTGAGGCATTAGATAATGGTTTTAATACTAAAGTTAAGTTTGTTCTAAATTCTGTTTCATACCTTTTCATGTCTTTACTGTAAATCAAATCTTTGACTTCACAAAACCAGAATGTTTGCTTAAATGCTATGTAACCGGCCTAGAAGGTACTTGTAGATTGCAAAAGCAAAATCTCTTTAACTGCAGTCTGAATTGTATGTGAACATCTGACATCTTAATCAGATAATCGCTCTTGTATTTACTTAGTTTTGATTTTGTTCTTCCAATGAGGAATAGACACATGTGCCAGGCTCTCCTACAGTGTATATTTACACTTTCCTGAAGTCTGAACATTGATGATGAAGCACACATTGTATTGCTTCCAAATCAAGTATGGCTCAGGTTAAAGAAAAACAGAGATAAGCCTTCTACGTGCAGCTTAAAATGAATTACTGTAATTTTTCTCCTTCCCATGGCAGTCATTTTGTGGTAACTTCATAACCTACCAGCTTCTTGGAGTCTTCTCCAATGGCTAAGAGCTGACCATAACCTCACCTGCACTACACTCAGTTCTTTCCTTTACACCTGAGTTTGGCATGCTGAACTTGTAAGTTTTCAGTCTAAACTTGTGGAAAAGCCACATTCTGCTCTGACTTGAATAGCTGTAAATAAATCTAAAAATGTCAGAACTTTTTTTTTTCCTGTATGAGTGTTCTTCCACTGTTCTGGACATCTGTATTTTGGACTGTAAAATTTTCTTTTCCTAGGGAAAAAAAGGCGTGAAAAGGAAGGCTGATACTACAACAACTATTACTTCAGTATTCACAGCAAGCAGTGAATCTCCTGCAACACTTAATGAGAGAAAAGCTGTTAAAGAACACCAAGGTGAAAAGGAACATAAGACACCAAATAAGCTTCTGAAGAAATACTTGCCAGGTTCTCATCAGTCACCCGAAAGTCTTAAAAAGATTCATTTTTCAGAACAGCTAAAATATTGTAACGAAATACTTAAAGAAATGTTTTCAAAGAAACATGCAGCATATGCGTGGCCTTTCTTAAAAACTGCAGATGCTGCATCTTCCTCACTTGGCGAGAACCAAGGGATCACCAAATATCCTACAGACCTGGCAACCATTAAAGTAAGTATGCTTCAGAGGGAATTGGGTGACTTGCGTGCTTGCTTGAAAAACTTGTGTAATGACTGGGGTTTTATAGCGTTAGTCAAAAAGGTGTCATGAAATCTGCTTCTCTTTTGAAAGAAACAGGGACATAGAAACCATGTAACCTTATGTCCCTCAACAGACTAAGCCACAGCTTGCTTAAGAAAGTCTTTTAAGTCTCACTGCGACTGTGTGTAGTGGCTAATCAACTTATTTGTTGAACAAGCTAATATTAGTAGTGAGGGAACTACCACTTCCATGAAGCATTTCAAGGAGGCTATATGTTAAATATCTTTCGGTCTGTATACACAATGCTCTTGTTAATGTTCTGTAAAACAGAATGTAGTTCTGTAATGTTCACTTCTGCTTCTCTCTGAATCTCATTATCCTTGGTGAACTGCCCTGGAATACCAACACTGGATATTTATATGACACCTTTCACATCATCTGTGAAAAGGAACCACTCTAGATGTAGGCATATTGCCAGTGCTTTGTGAATACTGGGCATATCTGTCTGGGGTTGAAGTATTTAGCCAAATTAAAATCTACCTTTGTGGGGATGGCTGAATTTCAGTAGTCTAGGAAATTGTCTTGAAAACTGGCTTGCACAATAAAAAGGTTATTTCCCAATTTCTAGCCCATGACTTTGACTTTAACATTTATTCAGTAGGGTTTGTATAACTATCACGATTAGAATCAAAACCAAGTGCAGTGTAGTTCACCAAATAAAATCACCCAAACGTCATCATCTTGACCTAGTGCTGAAGATAGTACTGCAAAGTCCTTATAGCAATTACAGTTAGCAACTCTGTTTAAAAGAGGCAATTCCCTTACTCTATTAAAGGGACAGTGTTAAATGAGAAGCAGATCTTTCAATAATTTTTTTTTTTTTTACAATACTTACTGTCTTGAAACAAGTTGAACCTGATACTGGATGTCAAAACCCTTGTTCCTCCTCTTTTTCTGACAGTTGTCTACTCTTAAGCACTAAATGTACATTTATTTTCTTTTCCTCTAGAAGAAAATGGATAATTTTGAATATAGCGATATACGAGATTTTGCTACAGATGTTAGATTAATGTTCAAGAATTGCTACAAATGTAATTCTCCAGACCTTGAAATAGTTGCTATGGCAAGAAAACTTCAGGTGAGTTAACACTTCAGTCAGACTTCAAAGGGTAGGACTGTAAGATTCCTTTATGGTCATCTTCTCCCTGATGCACCATCTTTTCATGTTACCAAGCACTGTGTTGCTGTGTGCTTCTAGAAGACAAGCAGCAACTTCATAATGCTTTTAGAATTTTGAAAAGTGTGCTGACCTCTCTGCTGTTCTCAAACCTGACTCTAGGATGTTTTTGAGAGGCATTTTGCCAAAATTCCTCATGAACCTGTTGCAAGCATTCCTCTGCCACAGCCTAAAAGACAAAAGACAGAAGCTTATTCCAGTGAGAGCAGTAAGGATGATTCTTCAGCAGAAAACTCATCTGAAGACTCCAAACAGGAGAAAACGGTGCACATTGCAAAGCTTCAGGAGCAAGTAAGCATTAGTACTCAATGTGCCTAACCGTTATATTATCTCTGATAGTGCCCCTTGCAATTGTCAATTCTAAGGCTTTGGCACCAAGAATCCATATTTAAAAGATTCTGTAGTCATTTGTTCTTCTTAATACAGAACTTTATTCCTGTTTGGAAGCACATCCAAATGGTAAGTGAATAGTGCCTCAGCAAATACAAACTGGTTTCAGTGAATTATTGCTTTAGTGCTTTTGCCCACCACTTCTTCAGATGACTCTCAAACTTTTAAAAAATAAAACTGTGTTGCTGTAGTATGATGAGAACATCCAGACACTCCACTTGTAGCTTACTTTTACCAATGGCATTTATTTCAAATGATGGTGGAGCTCTGTTCTTGTGTGCAGTCTCCTTTGAGCCACACAAATGCAAATCACTAAATTCTAATTCAGAAAGCTCACAAGTAAAATGGAAGGTATTTCATGCTTGTGCTACTATGAAGCATAGCTTTGCTTCACTGGCTAAGAATGGAACTGGGTTTCCTTTTGCTTGAATATAGTGCTTTAACCTGCTGCCACTGTATCTGTTAACTGTGGGGGAAATTAGCATTTGCTAGTCAAATGAGGGACTTAATATCACAAAACAATTGGACTTTATGGGTTGAAGATGCACTAGCCCAGTCTCAGTAGCATAATTCAGTAACACTGCAGAGATCTTGCCTAATAAGGCACTTGCGTACTTCCTAAATGCTTAAAATTAGAGAAAGTGCTGGATACTCCTGCAGTGATTTTTTTTTGCCTTTTTTTTTTCTTTATGAGGTGCTAGAAGACTTACACTGTTAGAAATATCTGCATAATAGAAGTAGTACAGTATCTTCTATATCCATAGTCTATGACTAATCTATAGTGTAGTAAGATGCTTGGAAAATAAACCTCATTTTAAAGCAAACATCCTATTAATATCCATTCAGCTGTTACAATTCTGTGATGTTGAGGACCAGTTTATTGTTCCTCCTACATTGCCAAAGACCATCAGCATTTATTTTATCTTTTTTTGCTTTTGACAGATCAAAGCTATTCAGCAGCAATTGTATGCTCTGACCAAAGTATGCTCACCTAGACTGAAAAAGAAAAAAGAGAAGGTTCAAAGGGAGAAAAGTAAGAACAAGGAAAAAACTAAAATAAAGAGCCTGATTCAAAAGAAGAAAAATCTAAAACACAAGAAGTCTAAGAAAAATCTGTCTTTAAACATGTAAGTGTGGGGGACTTGTGTGGGTGCCAAATAACTTTAAACTGCTGTTACTGCAGTATTATTTTTTCTTGCAGTGAATCCAAAAGAACCATGCAGCAGGTCTTGTTGGCACATAAGTCAGAAGATAAAGATGGTGCCAAGCCCATGAATTATCATGAAAAACGGAAGTTAGGTTTGAACATAAGTAAACTCCCTGGAAATAAGCTTCAAAAAGTAGTCCATATAATAGAGTCAAGAGAACCTTCACTGAGGAACTCTAACTGTGATGATGTAAAAATAGACTTTGAAACTTTAAAGACTTCAACACTCAGAGAACTAGAGAAATATGTGGCAAGCTGTTTGTGTAAGAGACCAGAAAAGCAGCAGGGTATGTAGTATAAGTGGTGCTTTAGAAAAACAAACCAAACCCTGGATTTTTCTGTTTTGCTGCAATGTTAACTTTTGTTTCACATGCAGCTAAAAAACCAACAAAGCTGAAAGAACATCTTAATTCTGAGAGGAAACAAGAGCTGGAGAAGAGACTACTGGATATCAGTGGCCAACTAAACCCAAAGAAGAAGAACTTAAAATGTAATGTGACTCTCAATTTTATTCATTTGCAACAGGTATAGCTTAAAGTGCGATGTTGCCCTTGGGCATATGCACTGTTATGCAGCTGGGGACTTTCTCCTTGGAACAGCTAAGGTCTCAATCTTCCCATTGCCAGTCTTAAGATTCTTCCTATGCTGAGTGAGCTGGAGTCACAGCAAGTTCAATCAGTTATTTGTCCTGTCTAAAACATCCTCCTTATTCTTGCATCTAATCCTTTATTACAGGTAGAGATAACTGCTTCAGAGCTTAAGGGACACTGAACACCTTCTCCCTTATGTTGACATACGAAAACATGGGGAAAGAGGAATGTCCCACAGCCTACATATTTGTTTGCAATTCACTTCCTGTGCCTTAATCAAAGAATGACAAATTCTAGTCATACTTGCTAGGTTGCAGCCTTACTAATGCTGTCTTGCTAGCAAGCCTTCTGCATCACTCCGAGGTGTGCTGTGCTGTTTTAGTCCTAAGGAAGTGCTGTAGGAGAATCAATTCAGCTTTTCAGGCAATATTGTGTTTCAATATCAAAGCCAGAAATTCAGTACCTACTTGAGCATATCTATACTTTCTGATGATACTTGTCACGGGCTGAGAACAGATCGATGCAGCTAATGCTGCTATTACAGGTCAAGGTATTCCTCATTAAACTAGTGAGTACTATTATTGCCTTCTTGGATATCTATTAAGCTCCTATGTAAAACCAGTTAGCTGAAATGACAGAAACAGCCCTGCAAGACACAGGCTTGTATCCAGCATTAGTTCAGTCAACAGTCTTCCTCTCTGGTATATGTGATGGCTTGAAAACATTCTAGAAATGAAAGATGAAAGCTCAAGGAAGCAACTGCAAAGGATATGTTGTGGGGAGAGAAAGAAGGCAGACCAAGAAATCTTTACAATTGGCCTCTGGCTTATATACAAGGAAGAGCTTAAGCTGGTACTTAATGACTTGTGTCTAGGTAAACGTATCCATGTAGCTTATAATTTTCAAAGCTTTGATCAGAGCAACACATTTTTCAAAGGCTTTTTGACTGCAAAATCACTGTGAACAGTGTTAAAGCAATGCTGCCGATGCAAAACAGTCAGATGGTGGGGAGGTGGCAAAAGATGACAATTCTGGAGTACATATGGCTTGGGAAATAGGAGAGTTGGCTATAGATAAAGACCTTAGCCTGTAAGTCTGGCAGCAGTATCAAGCACAGAAACAGGTTCTTGACAGCAAGAAAACTTATGGGGAAAAACTGCCTGAATTGTGTATTAAGACAGCACAGTTTCAACCTACTATAGAATTGTAAGCTGTGTAATTACAGCTCCTCCTTGGCTATTTCACTCAACTAGCTTGCTGCCAATAAGCCTCCCTCCTCTGCAAAGGTCTTGGATCCACTGTGAAACAGATAGTGGACAAGGAAATAGCAGATGAACTTTAATATGAGAGATGAGACCTAACAAGGTAGATCTTAGCCTTGTATGTGAAGACTGGACCTCTGCGGCTTGTTCTAAACTCTTTATTTTTCCTCCTGCAGTTGAACACACTGCTGAGTCCGCTACTGGACCAAGCAGACTGAGTGACAGCAGCAGCTCCTCAGACTCTGGCAGCAGTACTAGCAGTGGTTCTAGCTCCTCAGACAGCAGTGACTCTGAATCAGGTCAGAAAGATTCCTCTTGTGTTTGTGTACGCAAACCTTCACAGCACCTACTGTTCCACATGCTTACCAAGGAGTTCAGTTACTCCTGTAGGTTTGCTACATGTTGAAGGCTCATTAAATGAAGTGCTGTTAAATTAGTAACTTATCACTGAGTTTGTAGGTTAAAAAAATAATTAAAACAGTCACTCAACTTATTGATAAACTTTAGGGACCAAAATGAGCTGGTAAGAGGTCTGAGTATCTAACCTGAAGACTTGACTATTAGGCTATAGCTTACTCCTGTGGTCTTGATTCCTTTTTGTAAGTCTGATTTACACTATTCTCATCTTCTGGTCTGCAGCATGAAGGGTGCCTTATCTTGCAGATAAGGCTCAGTCCCTAAGCCGAGGGACAGAAATGCCAATGGCATTGACTGTAGAGCCAAAGCTTACCCTGGTGCTTAAGCTGTCTCAAGCATGTTCAAGGGATGTTACATTGCTGCAGCTTCAGGAAATCAAAAGGATGCGTCTCTCTGTACACAGATCTTCCTAGTTTTCTAGGACAGAACACATCTGCCAAACTGAAGGTCTACAATGTAGGTACCTGTATGAGGTAACAGTATAAGATGAGGTGAATGCTCAACCCATTAAAGGTGTGTGGAAGCAAACACACGGAAGTTGTTGATGGCAGCAAAGACCTTGATCCTGAAGAACTTTTTTGTGTTTTTCTTCTACATCTGGAGCAAGTCCTCTAAAGACATCAAGCTGAAATGAATGTGTTCAAATAATTTTCCTTTCACTGTGAAGTTTGCCTCTCCAACTGCAACTCACATCTTGCATGTGTAAATAATGAAATATATGCAAGTGACTGATTTTTTTTTTTTTTTTTTCCTTCCTCCATCCCCCTCTTTTCTGCCCACCTCAATGTATTTACAGTTACAGAAACCCGCTCAGAACGGACTGGAGCTAGGCAGAATTGTCCAACTTCTATGAAAAAGCCTAAGGTAAACTGACTGGAATGGATATAACAAAGTCATTTTTTACATACAACGGTACTGGAAATGACACAACTTTATCAGGAAATAATGAATACGGCTTGAATGCTACTTGTTCTGTAGGACTGATTTACATGGAGATGTAAAATCTGTTGTTGGTTAGAAGCAGTTTATGTCTGTATAAAGCTGATTTAATAAGATAATTCCTGAGGCTTTTACCTCTTAAAATCATTGTGGTAATTCCATGTTGGGTGAAGAAGGGAACACAGAGCGGGAGAATGCCCTATACACCCCACTCCACTGATCCCCAAAAAGGAAAATCCTCTCTGACTTGATCCTTGAGTATAGAGTTGACCTAATAAATAGTGCAAACACTACTTAAATATTTTTTTTCTTTATGGATAATCTCATGTCTACACCTGAAAATAAGCAACAGCAATTTTCTCCAGAATTATATTTTATTCAGCTGCTCCTGCTGCATCTTTATAAGCAAAGACCAAGGGGAAGAATTATGCAACACCCTTTTTTTTTTTTTCTTTTTTCTTTTCTGTCACAGCCTCTGCAGTGACAGTATGGCAGCAATAAATTTGAGAAAGCAAGCTTCAGCTTGGTCAGTTTTAACAGACTTTCTGAGTAACAGCAAACATCATACTTCAAACCCTCACATTACATCTTGTTCTCACAGGTTTTCTGTATTTGTCAGACCAAGGCAGTGCACTTCACCTCCTAAGTTTTTTGACAATTAAACTCTTAGAATGTGCTAGATCAGTATTGCAATACAAGGACTACTGAATTCTAGAAACTGTGGAATTTGGGGCGGTGGAGGGTGAAGGGAATCAGGTAGCTATAAAAGTTAATATTTGGCTGCAATCTCTCTCTAGACAGCACCACTGTGTTTACAGAGGACATCTTGCAACGCTGTTCTGCAAGCACAGCCATCATCCCTTACTACTAGCTTGCAAAGCTGCACATCATCTGAACTGCGGCAGCCACTGCCCCACGTACCGCAGAGGCACTGGCCTTTACAGACTAGATCACCTAACCCATCAAAACAAAATGCCTTGTCTTCCTCAGGTAAAATTGTTATGGCAAGAATCATGGCTGTAGTTGAGTGCCGAGGAAAGAAAGGGTGGCAGGACTAATGTTTGTATTGCCTAATAAGCTTATCTTAGGGTTTTGCAGGTTATAGAGTGGTAATAGAAAAAGTTCTTGCAGGGTATGGATTATAGAAAGCATGATGTAAATTTTGAGATGTACGACTGCACTTTGCATGTTAGGGGAAATCACACACCACTTCTTTCTCAGGAAAAATCTCAGCTGTATCTTCTCTGCATGATGCTCGAGACCAGCAAACTCCTCCGAGTGCTCCAAGGACAAATCAGTCTTCTGTCAGTCAGTGCACACATGCTCTTCCAGAGGTGAATACATGCTTTTCTCCAATGCATTTATTTCAAATAACTTCTTTAAAGCATGTTTGTATGTAATTTACATGTTCCTTAAAATAAGATCTAATATAATACTCCAGGCTTGAATTTGATGCAACGAAGGTAACTCCAGCTTTACAACAAAAGGTGTCTAAAATGCCACTCACAAAGTGATTTTTATCCTTGAATAGGACATAATTTCATTGCCTGTTGGCTGCAACTGAAAGAGTTTGTCTGATCAATATATCAATTCATAACATACTATAAAGCTTATTTTGTTTCCTTTCAGTGTTAAAGTGACACTTACCCCTTGTGGGTTAAAAGCCCACCCTGCAAACCTGCAGTTTCACTGAAGAGAGAGGCAACTTATATGTTCTTGTTTTCTAGAAAAATCAATCTCCTAAGCTCAGTAATATTATGAACCCTCTAGCGCCTCTCTTGGAATATATGTTGACTTTTTTCTTCCTGTTCTTAAAGCCATGGAAATTGAGGCTTTCAGGGTTGCATAGGAGGCTGTGAAATATTTAGTTGCTGTCAATCTGTCTTAATATGTTCTTGGAGAGTATCCTGATTAGAAAGGCCTCTGTGTTACACAGGAACTTATTAACGTTACTGCAGCAGCATGACCTATTCCATCTTAAGATGTTTAACTATCTTTCTGAACATGGTTTCCAAACATAGCTGCTTTAGCCAGGTTTTAATAGCTTTCACTTTCTGAAATGGATAGAAACTACCCTTTCCATCTATAAGCACATTAATGTGTCCTGCAAGAAGGGAAGAAAAGCAACTTGCCCTTCCCCATTTGTGCCCACTATCCAAGGCAACAAGTAGTACATTACGAGACTCAGATTTGCGCAACCCCTTCCCCCGTTCAAGGGGAAAACTACGCTACCTTGGGCAGAGAAAAACTACCACTGAAGTAATGCAGCTGCCCTTCACCCTCATCTGTAAACTAGAGGAGCAACAGGCTTTACAATAGTAAAACTAACTTCTATTGTACCATATGAAGGGTTAAGGAGCCTGTATTAGTTTCTTGTGTTCTACCTACCCACCACTCACGATCTCTGAGCAGTTCATGTTCTGAATCTGAAGTGTTGATGCAGTAATTTGCTTTGACTACCATAGTATAAACGAAAGTTAATTCTTCCCTGCTGTTTACAGAAGCTAGAGTTCCAACAATTTACTGCTCTATGCATTTAAATCTTTATTCCTGCTTCTGTATGGCAGGAATCCACGTATAGCACTTCAGAACATACTTTGAAGTCTAACTTCTCTTCTAGGTATCCAACAAAACTTCTCAGGTTAATAGCACTGACTGGAGTAAGGAAGCTGAGAAAACAATACCTCTAGACAAATCAAATGAACTTCAAAACAGTGAGAGATCTGCTGATTTGATATCTGTAACTCAAGAACAAAGTACGTATTGTCATAATAAGAACTGTAACTGATATGTTAAATTAAAAATATGTATGTGAACCTGGTTTAAAGAAATAAAACACTGAACACTTGTATACTAATCAATTTGGGGAATAATTGAGGGGGTTCAGTTTTCCCTTGCTCTTTTCTTTTGATTTTGTTGTGTTTTTTTTAAGCAAAATTAAATGGATATTTCGTTCTTGTTTTGTGTAAAAAAACAAAACACAACCCCTCCCAAACACATAAAGCTAATGACTTTGATTTAACAACTTTAGTTTTCTGACTTTACTACCAGAGATAAGTAACCCAATCTTCTAGGAATTCTGAGAGAATCAATGCTCTAATCTGCTGAACACTGATGTTTAACCTGGCTTCTGCTGAAGCTTCGTGGAGCTCTTTTTCCAGGGCACTTTGTGTGTATTTTGAGTTACCATCTCCAGCTCTTGGTGCCAAGGATCTGACAGTAAAGCAATGTCAAGCAGGCTTTCACTATGGACTGTGTTGCAATTATTACGAGAAAAACAGGTTCCCTGAAAACTGTATTTTGTACAGAAATGTATCAGACTTCACATGAGTTTCAAACTAAAGAATTTGAAGCTGGACCTTCATAGAATCATAGAATCATAGAATGGCCTAGGCTGGAAGGGACCTTAGAGATCATCTAGTCCAACCTCCCTGTCATGGGCAGGGACGCCACCTCCCGACTAGACCAGGCAACACATGGGGACCGAGCGAGAATCAAACCCGCAAACCTTAGTGTTGTCATTGTTGGTAGCACCGCTGCTCAAACCACTGAGCTAACCGGCCCTCCAGACTTTGAACATCTGTGCTGCAGACCTAGTGATACCACACATGAAGTAACCCTAAAAATTGAGATTTAATTCTCTAAGATGTTCTGTTCAGTATTTTCATGGTATTAATGTACCTATCCATACACATTCTGATCCCCTTTGCCAGGACATGTAGCAGCTGGAGCTGGTACCTGGATTCAGCTAATGATCTTCGCTTACGAAATTCTGAGGCTGCCTAAAACTTGAATTCCTGTCCTGTATACTGCATGCCTAACTATCACGATCCTGGTGTTATTTTAAAGGGCTGGGAAAACAAGCTTGAATTAGCCAAGCTCATTGTTCTAACATTTGTAGAAGAAAAGCCAAAGCTGCTGAGAAAGCTTGGTCTCTTCCACATTTAATTGTTTACTCCTTCACATAAATTCCTCGTAACTTCTTATTCCTAATGCTCACTTAATTTGTACTGTTTCTATCTTCTCCCTATTTTCCAAGGACATTTGTGTAGACAGCTCTAGCAGAGCTTCTCTGTTTAATATGGGAAGTATCCAGTAATGAGACTCTGCCTTTAAGTACCTTTGAACTTCAGCACTATGCTGCAAAGCAGAGCTTTTAACACTGTTACGTGAGTGTGGTTATCTGCCCCCATCCATCATACAGTGCTGTTTGACTGTTCCTGAAATGATACATGCCTCAGCTGTGCTCAGAGTTATCTTAGCCTTCCCACTACTAACTCCTGTAGAAAACTGGAAAGGGGGACAGAGAACACAGGATTTTCGCGCTTTTTTGTATTGTTTTGGGGGCTTTTGAAACAACAAAAAAAAATTTATGATCCAGAACCGTTGTAGGGCCTGTAATCTATTGATAGAAAGTGCAGTGAATGCCCAGCATTATATGCGTCTACTTCCATCAAACTAGGGCAACTCATTTTAGAACTGGATGTTTAGAGCAACTCACTGAATTTTGCAGAGTCCCACTGTCTCAGGCATTTCTGTGAGATTACCTGCATTTCTGAAATAAGAGTTCTTGATTTCAGACTTCTGACATCTCTGATGGTATGGGTGTGGTCTTGATGTCTTGTTGAATTCAGTGGTGGCTTGTTAAGAAGCTTAACTTACAAAACTGATAACTATAAGCTTCCCTTCAAATTAAAAAGCAGGATCTCTCAATAAGAGGCTCTGTGAAGGCTGGCATTGCTGCAAGTACCTCTAAATTACATGTTTTGAAGCCCATGGCTGCAAATACTTTTGACACAGCCTCCTATTCCCATGTTATATCTAGAGCTTTAAAACAGGCATAACTATAAATTTAAATTTATCTGAAGTTTGCTCCAGGTGGATCTTCCTGGTGAATATAAGCGGCTGATAAAACTGATCTTAACACTCTTAACAACAGGGTTAGACATTCTGGGGTATGTGAAGGTCTTGCTTTATTTTAGAGTATTCAGTGCTTGTGATTGTCAAGTTTGTTATATGAAGGTTTAAGCTGCTTGTATCAGGATAAATGATTGATGAAAGACGTTTATTGTATTACGAGGGATACTTTAATATACTAGCGTTCCACTCTGGAGGAGAACGAGCCTTTGATAACAGAATTTGATCTAGCTAGACTTTGATTAGCTGAAGCTGGAGTCCACAGGGATGGAGATACCAGGATTTGCAGCCTCATCAATAGTACTTGAGACTTCAGAGGTCTTTGATTCTGTTTCATTCGACTGTATAGTAAAAACTCTCCTGCTCACTTGCAATTATACCATCTCACAGGCAATGCATGGGGGAATTGGGTGAAGGTTAGGCTTGTTCTTGTCTTGAATTTTGGAGGCTGTGAGGTCTTTTTGAAAACCCTTTTTATGACAAACTGCCTGATGGTTTGATACTCTGCCTTCAATCTTCTGGATTCAAACATCTAAAAACTTTGTATAACAAAGAATCTCAATGTGCTGTCTTAAGGTTCTTATTAAACATTTACTTAAATACTGAAACATCTTAAGCTACAGGAGTATTGCTGAATGATATCTGTTGTTTATATCTGTTTATATATGACAAATTAAATTAACCAGGAGTTAATTTATCATCTGTAGTTGAGCTTAACCATTTCTTTCTCTGCCCCAAACTGGAAAGAAGTGGACCAGTTCAACTTAAGGTCAGAAAATGTTTGGGAGTATTTCTGTCATTTTGAACCAAATAGTAATAAGAAAAAGCTGTGGTGTAAATTCTTAGGTCAATTTCTAGAATGTGTAACTGTTTATCAATTAAATTTCAGGAAAAATAGTCCATACAATCAACATAAGCGCAAAATCTTTTCTACTCTTCCATTAGGTCATTGTATACCCAATGACAAGCCTAATGGCACAAAATCCAATACTCCTCCAAAAAAGGTAAGCTTAAGTCCTACTTGCAAAGAGCTTGAGCATGCATACTAGAATCAGTAACGAGGAATCCTTCGATCATCTCTGAAAATCTGGTCTTCTATGATTCAAATATTTAGTATCTAATAGGTCTTGGGCATTGTTATAACCTGTAGAGGTTTATCTCATTTCTAGTGCTAAAAACAAACATAAAACCCCCCTCAACTATGGGGTCTGATCATTTCAGAAGTTAGATAATATAAGATTAGGTTAAAAAAAAACATATACATGTTGTCATTAAAAATATGACTTATCTCATCTAGTTTTAATATTAAAACAAGGAGCTAGTGTTCCTTGATCCAGTTCTAATTATTCAAGCTGTTAGTGTGCTTTCCCTTGCTGATCCAGTAATAAAAATAAGAGTTGGGTGGAATATAGCCTTGGGTGCTATTGAAAAACTCATCCTAAAACAAGGCAATATACTTTCAATGACATTATTGCAACTGGGAAATAATCTGATGGTTTTTATGAAAAAATAAACAAAATATTTCCTAGAATACAATAGTTTATCTTAAATGGAGGAATAGGGTAATTTTATTACCCATTATTCAAATTCTTCCATGGTAAACAGTTACCTGAAAACATCAGATCAAAATTATTAGTATAAATAACTGATTGTGTCAGCCTCTGGACCTAAAAAGTTTGTATATAGTCTGCCGAATTAAAATATCCAAGGAATTTTCTGTAGGCACTTAGCTTTTAGAAAATGATTAACTAACTTATTGAATTAAATTCCAAAAATATGTATTTCCTTCATTAAAAAGTGACCTTCTACTAGAAGCAGTACTTCTTAAGAATACTGAGTTTATACTGTTTTACATATGAAGAAAGTGCCACTGGTGGTGGGAAGGGCAGAAAAGAAAACATAGACATTTAAAACAAACAAATCCCATAAGCCTAACACAAAACTGTTGTTATGTAGGGATTAGGTATAGAAATGAGATGGATGTTCTCCTTATTAAAATATCATCAGTGGACCTTGCAGAAGCTCAGTCTTGTGAATTTTTTTTCTGGAATTAAAAGATTAAGAGTAAAAAATGGGTATGAATAGCTACAAATGCTAAGGGTTTTTAGCATACTGCTGAAGAATCTCAAAGTTGATGAGAAAACATATTGAAGTCTGCTTGGACTGCTGTATTTGCACTAATATTCTGCCAAAGTAAGGATACTTTGTTGTAGCTATTCTTGATTAAGTCTAGTCAAAACAATATTGTGCTAATATAAGAACTAAGCAGGTAACAGATGATCAGTAGCTGTAGACTATTTTTGCCTCTTCTGTGTTTTCCTTTTACTGTTAACTTCAGAATATAAACTCCTGGTTAAGTTTATGTAAAACGATGACGATTCCTGCTCCAATAAAATCACCTACTGAGAGGTTCAATCAATTCAGGCAACAAGCATTAAAGAGAAAGAGAGACCAAATGCAGGAGTTAAAAAGGCAAGCCCAGGTGCAAGCCCAGAAGGAACTACAAAACCTTCCTCAACAAAAAGAGAGGTTTGTAACCACATATGTTTAAATATTATTCTATCTTTTTTTCGCTTGTATGTTACCAAGTGGCTTATTCAGGAACAAATGGTTTGGATTAGGTGATTGCCATGTGTCAGATGAAGGGGGAGAGCTGTACCACTCCAAGCACAACTGCACATCCAAAATGCTCCCTTGCAAAGCAATACCATTTCAGCAGCCAAAGAAAATTCTCCTCTGGTCATGACCAGCATTCACACCTCTCCTCAGTATCTTACTTTCTTTCATCTGTAGCCAGGAAAATCCCCATCTTATTGCTATCCTAAGAGAAAGCAGGATAATCTAGTCTTGAAGAACTTGGTGTTAACATAGCTAAAGGAGTTCCAGCGTGCACCCCTTCAGACAGCAGAATTCTTTGCATGGCTGTAGAGAAACATGGTCCATAAGCTGCTGCTGTAGTATTCTTCCCCAGTGGATTGCAGCTACTTCTTTAGTGAGTGCCCACAGATGTATCTCAGTCTGTCACTAAGATGAGTGGGTTAAGTGACTTACTAACTGTTGCATTGCAGTAGTATCTTAGATTGCTGTTTGCCGCCTTTTTGAAACTCTTTCTGTAGTATTTCCCTCCTCAATAGTCTTGTTTCTTTCTTATCTGTTTGACCCTGTGGAAGATAAGTCTGAGCTGGTTCCTAAATTCTCCTGCTCCTGTCTGTCAGTCACTTGTTTCAACTGTGTTATTTCAATAAACAGAGCATTTGAGAGACTTAAGAGTACATTCCTTGATCAGAATTTATAGTGAACAGGCCAGGCACCCTCAGCTACTGTGGTTTTCCACAAGGAGGAAACCAGGCATGTAGCCCTGTAGAATAAGACATTACAGATGCTTGCCTGAAGTTAGTGAAATCTACCTTGAATAACTAGCTGAAGAGGAAGAAGGTAGAAGCAAAAAATCATGGCCCAAGAAAGTAACAGAAAATTAAGCTTGTATGTCTTTCAAAGAAAATGCATGTAAGTTTTGTGTAGCATATATATAAATGCTGTATGCAGACAGATTGGAAACAGAACACAGGAAACCTTAACCTATTACAGCCCAACAATTCCATGCACATACCTCTTGCAAAGGGAAATCACTATGAATCAACATATAAAGCACAACCACAGTCTGAGTGCTATGCACTGATTTAAATTATTTGCAGAATTCTCTTCAGTTGCAAAGTCTTATTATGAAGAAAAAGAAGAAACAACTTTTATCCTATACTGATCTTTTCTCCTGTCTTTAAAGCAGCTGTGAAGCCACACCATTGGATGCCACAGCAGCAATATGCTGCGAGCCAAAGAGCGAAGTGCAGAAGAATGAACAACTGCCTGAAGCAAAAGAATACATTCTTCCTGAAGACCGTAACGTGGCTAAAAAATTAGAGCAAGAGCGCAGAAGGAGAATAGCAGTAAGTTGCTGACTCTTGCCAGCTGATTTTATTTCAACCCTAGTGGAGAACAAAAAAATGTTAGCTCAGGTCCTTATTTTAAAGGACCTGAATGACTGGAAAAAACAGAACCATGCTACCTTAAGAGTTAGTCCAGAAAACGAAACAGGAAACTCAAATTAAGTCTTCAAGTGATGTAATACAAAAAAATTACCTTCTTGGTTCTATTACTCCCATAAACTTAGAGTCATTGTGTGGTAAAAACAAATTTTAAAGAGGACTTCCTGCCCTCTGAATAATTTCAAACCTCTGGCCTTGCAAGCTGTCTGTCATCTTTAACGTATTTCATGTCAACAAAAGCAGTAGTCATACTGTTCTGAGCTGAAATATCAGAACTGAGCCTTTTAAAAACGTTACTGGTTTTATTAGTGTACATAACACGTTTCTTAATTGCTACTTTTTAAAAACATTTTTATTAAATTCATAATATTGTACAATGGAATGCAGTGTGAGATGATGCTAGATTCAGATAAGATGCCCAAGTCAGCCCTCTTCAGAGAGGGCTTCAGCACCACGCACAATCAAACTTGTAATAACAGAGGAAGCATACATTTTTTGGGAAGAAGCTTTGCAGTATTTTCTTAAATCTTTATTATATATTTAACCTGCATATTATTCATTAATGGCCGACTGCTTTGAAAATACACTAATGTGCTTTCTTGCAGATCGAGTTTGGGTTCGATTACTATCGGCAGAGAGACATTTTCAGAGCCTTTGAACATTACCTGAGGTCGGACCTTGAGTCAGTCGACTTCCTAGAATACTACAACATCCAACTGTGAAAATGCGCGCGTTTAAATGTTTAAGTTTATTTGTTTCAAGCTTAAATGTTAGGTCAGTTTAAAGAGCATTTTAGCTCCTCTCAAATGTTTAATATTAAAAGTTTTTTCACTGATACCCGTAGCATCACACGACCTTTCTGCACCTTGTTTATAATATATATGTAATCTAGTTTGCCACACAGTGGAAAGTAGTTGTTCTTTTGATTACAGTTGCATACATTGTGTGTATATGCATGAGAGAATATCAACTTATTTTTTTCTTATTTTTTTAAACCAATGCTTTTCAGAAGCAGTTGAGAAGGTTATACTGAGCATAGCCAAATTCTTGTTTGACTGTATTAAGTCACAGTATACTAAATATGCACCTGTAGAAACTACTTTAAACCAAGGTCTTGCCAAATATGTGGTTTCTTCTAGAACAATCACTTTACTATGACACATTTGCACAGAATCTGGGCTGTGACAGAAGACCTCTATAATAGTGATGATTTCTAAAGGGTGTGAAACATTACTTGTTAAAGAAACCATTTTTTAGAGCTCTATAATTTCAGCAACAAATCCTGTATACTTGCACGTTTTATAAGGCCCAAACATGTTGATCTTCTGCTCAATATATTATATGTTAACATTTGGATAAGGAAGCATTCATCTAAAACATCCCACTTTTGGCTCCGGTTTCAAAAGACTGATTAACGCAAGAGGTTTTTTTAATGTTAAGATACCTGTCTGAAGGAGAAACTAGAGTCTAAATGCCCTACATTCTTGTTGATTACATTTTAGCTACCTCAGATTACATATAGGAATAATAAAATGTTGTCTTACAGAATAAACACCAAAACACAATGTGTATTATAGAAACATTGGGTAGAAGGGGCCCCCTTGAGATAATCTAGTTTGGTGGTCTCCAAATCTTTTTCATCATGCATCCCATCATTAAAAAATTTAAATATGTGCCTCAAGACACATTTATTTTTTAATTTATACATCATATACATGTTCTACTCCACTAATATATTATTTATATTATAAAAAATACACAGAAATTAAATTTAAAATATTTTAAATATTGTTGTTTAGTTGTTTTTTTTTTCATTTTATTCTATAATTTTAAAAAATGTTTTGTATTAAATATTTTCTTCCCACACTCTACTCTGGAGGCCACTGACCTAACCAAACCTCACCCCCAAAACTCTCTCTCTTTATGGAGACCTCTCGTCTCTCAAGTTCCTGGATCAAAGTTCGCAATGAAGGTAACCCTGACAGTGTTGTGGTGAGGATCTGCCACGACCCACCCAATTAAGTAACCTAAGCGGACAAGACTTTCTACAAATAACTGAATTTTCAGATAAAGGAAATATCACCCCTTGAAACACCTAAGGAAGTGCTCTTAAATGAGTCTTGCCTGGATGCATGCTCAAGCGTATGATGCTGTTTGGGAGACTTGAGCACTTGGCTAGGAAAGGGATTTGGGGTGAAACATGGGTCATAATATGAAGTGGTGCTGTTAGGATGTCTTGTTTCACATCCACATCAAAAGGGATTTAGGCCTGCCTTCACCTGTAGTTTATACATCACTAACAGCTATTAGTCCTGCATGAAATATTACAGTTCACTTTCAGGACTCCCTACCTTGCTGTCCTCTAGACATATTTTCTGAGTGGGTTAATGCAGGCTCAAGACCTCTTGCCTTGGAAACAGGAGATGATGGAGGGAAGGGCAAGAAATTGTTCTCTGCATTTCATCCATTCTATATAACTACGTGGGCTTTGCTAATGGTATGAAGGGGTAGTGTTGCCCCTTTAAAAAGTCACATCATCAGTGCTGCTGATGCTAATCTGATAAACCCTTTAATCGAAACCTACAAGTCCCTTAAAGAGGATAATCAGTTCCTACCTCCAGACAGAAGGCTAAATTCAGAGGAACGGGAGATGCCCTCCAAATGCAAGTGAGTAGCAAGTCTATAATGACTCTGTTTGCCTAAGGCTGTGACCTCACTCAAGGAAGCAGAAGCACCACTTCTGTACATAACTCCTGCAAAAAACAAGCTGCTTAAACAGACCAAGTACTGTTAGTTACCTAACAGTTAAAATGTGTGCTAAGTTCTGCTATGCCATCAATTTACCTTGACCATTTGTGAAAGAAGCTGCACTAATGTGTCATTTTTATACTTGTGCCTACATGAGTAGTTTGTATCTACACATAAATGAAGGCTAAGACGGTCAAAAACTGAAGAAAATTCCTCTGTCACTAATAAATGGAATATATTAAACATTTTACTATCAGCTACTAGTTGATCAGTCTGGAAGCAGAGTCAGTGATGCGCACAGTTGTCCTCTTTTGTGTCTCAGAGAAATGAGATTGGTTGAATTGACAAAAGATGAGTGGGCAGATGGCACATTACAGAGCACAAAGCACATAAGATAATCTGCCCTGGGGTTAGTTTGGCTTGGCACTCATTAGAACAATAATTTAGAGTAGAAGCTGAGAAAATCAAAATATAAGGAAGACAGAAGAACAGTTGCTGGTGTTTTTAATTCTTCCTTATTCACATGAGATATATAGAAGATTCTAAGCTTTCTTCTGCTGGAAAACATAAGGCATTTGTGACGTGTTAGACATAATGATCCCATAGTACAAAGAAAGCCTTCCTCAACAAAAGCGCAACTCTACCACTTCCTTGGCTAACAGGACAGCTGAAGTAACGTAGCTGGAGATGCCAGAAATACTCAACTATGCAATTTTGTTGTGCAAAAGCTGTTTGGAGCTTCTAGGTTGCCAGCACTATCATCTCCCCAGCTCTCATACTGGACTTGTATCTAATATGTGAAGATGGCATAGCTAAAGGTTTGTGTACTTTAGAAGTCTGACATAAAACCTATGAAGGCAGTGATGTATAAACTAAAAATATTTAGTTATATTCTTGTGAAGAGATTAACTCTGACTTGTATGAGAAATGTGGCATAGCTTGGCCAAATACCTTGCTAAATGTGTCAAATGCAAGGCACAAGCATGGTTCCATCTGTAATCCTTCCTTTATTCTAGATGGCTACTATCAGTCTGTGAATGCTGTGTCTAACCTGTCACTGGGCTTTCATCAGCCTTTCTTTAAACAGGAGGTTGTGGTCAACTCCTGGATTTCCAACCTTGGTTCTCAAATTTTTCTTAGGGGATGGTTTCTACTAATTCATTCTGGTAATTGTTTTATTAATGAATTTGGTGACTACTCTGATATAAACAGCATTGGTTGATTGGCTCCTGCCAAACTTTCTAATTTATCTAACTGGGTCACTGGTTTACTGAGGTGCACTTCAGGGAAAATCCTGCTGCAGCTAGTCTGATACTGAGAAGCTGCAAAGGCTTCTTCCCTACAAGAAGGGTTATTAGCACAAAGTCTGATGCATAAGAAATTAGCTATATGCTAATCCTAGGGTTGGCAGTATGAGTAATCTGAGCACGAATGGAAGGCTCAGGCTTGGTAGGCATGAGTCACACAATCCTACTGGAGTCTGCAGAGGTTAATGTCTTAACTGAATCATCAGCTTCTGATGTTGCTCCTTCTCTTCTTGTCCAAGAGAAGGAAGAAGCCTCAAGCAGTCCAACAGCCTGATAAAGCTCCTGACCTTGAATTTGTAGGGCTCACACTCAGACAGTGAGGAGAGATTGGGAACAGCATGAATCAGCATTGTCAGCTGATGTGTGTTGCTGATATTTCATTTGTGTTATTGATAAGAGGAAGCTAAGCGGCTTTATACAGCTACTTGAAGATGTTATCTTTAGTAGTAAAAAATAAAGTCAGATAACAGTTTTGTATCTTATTTAAACTTTTAAATGCATGACAATGCAGTAATGGGCAATTCTTTACAACATTCCTTTCTGCTGCTTACACTTTTTATTTTTTTTTTAAAAAAGAAACATTTTGAACTTGTGGAAGCCAGCATTAATTCTGTTGGACTAGGATTCAGCGTCTATATTTATGTCTATATTTATAAGTCTGAATTTAGAACAAGTAGGAGAAAGCATTTGGTATGTTACAGACAAAAATTGTCTACATGCTGTGTTCTATGTATAGTGAAAAAAGATATATATCATCTGCATACACGCTTATCCAATTTGGGTTATTTAAATAGCTCATTAAATTACGTATCTTGAAGTTAACAGATGCATGGTGTCTTCTACCAGCTTCTACTTGCA